CCAATGGGGCGGGGGCCACCCCTCCCCCACCCCACCCCCCAACGGTCTCCTCAGGGCCGCGCGGGACCGGCAATGGGGGCTGCTCTCCGGCCTGAGGGGAGCCGTCCTCGCCCCGACCGGCCCGACCCCAACGGGGAGAGGAAGGAAACGAACACGTGCTGTGAGTATCACTATGAACACGTATGACAATGAGGACTAGTGTGTCCCAGCCGCACGTCTGTGCGTGCACACCTCGCGTACATCTCCACGTCGGCCTGACGCACGTTACACCCGCCAGCCGCAGTGGCAGCCGGGACGCGCCCCCTGCTGCTATCAACCCGATTTTTTTTTTGGCCCAACCCCCCCCCCCCCCCGTGCTTCAGGGCAAGCTTTCGGGCACAAGCATCCTTGGGTGGGCGTCGTGGAAGAGCTCGCACGAGTCGTGTTTCGTAGGATTGCGCTGGAAACTTCCCGCCGGCGTTCATCCCTCACGACGCCCGACAGAGAAGGGGAAGGGCAGGCGGGCGGGCAGGACTCATTTCCACCCCGGCACGGGCTACAATTATTAATAACGCTTTGGGAGACATCAGTTGTGGCATTTGATGACCAGATAAGACTCTGCCTGAGCCAGCGGTTGTATCGCTTCCCCAATGCCACGCGTGCGTTACGTAGTCATCCCTAAAACACACGCCCCGTAGGCCTCAGGGCTTAAGCAGTCGTACAAAATACAGCGCGGCAGGTACTTACACACGCGTCTAAAGGTCGGCAAGATCAGGGCGTGCGTAGCGGTAATTTTGCGATGACGCCGCGTTTCAGTTCAGAGAGCTAAAAAAGGAGGATGGGGCGAGGTATCGTTTTTGCTTCAAGATGGGGCAGGTATTTTATCACTCCTCAATAAACACAACTAATGAGCGATGGCTGCTCTAAACCCGAAACTGTGCTAAAAAATGTTTCCGAGCTATTTAAGTTGGTCTAATAGATTCACCCAAAGACCCCTGATTACTAGTTAAGACACCCCTGCGTGGTTTCTGCTGTACAGCGTGTCATGAAGGAATAGGAAAGGCAGGGGTCTAGTCCAGCCCAAACTTATTATCTGAAAAGTTTGGTACAAAACATGGGCATTGAGTGTTGCCGCCTCTTTCCTGCAAAAG